AAATACTTTAACAATCAGACCCTACCGGTCTGGAGCCACACTCAGTAACTTATGATGCTTAGCACATGTAATTAAAGCAGAAATCCTAATGATCCCTGGAGCCTGGACTCAAGCACCAGGTTCAGGAAAGACAAAGGTAACTGTGAATATTACTACTTAACAATAGTGAGATGGCCACTCCTTTTTTGTAAGATGATTTATTTTACATAACCCCAAATATCTACTAACTTATTTTGTTGTTCTATAACCCATATAGAAAATCACTAATGAACCACTTTACCTTCCTTTTATACCATTTTTTTAAAGAATATACAAAATCTTGACATCCATGCTCAGGGATCTGGATCAGTCTTGTACTGGTCTCCCAGACAGCATCTGGGGTCGATGTGGTCTCCCTTGTTCAAGCCAACTGTTCCTGTGGGTTTCTCCAACCTGGTCCAGACCCCTTTGATCTTCATTCCTCCCTCTCTTCAACTAAATTCCAGATTTCAGCTCAGTGTATTTCTGTGCCTGGATTGTCAGATCGTGTCATCCTTGTAGGTCTCTGGAGATCTCCCTGGTTCCAGATCTCTTCTCAGACCTATAGTGGCTTCAACTGATATGGTATCTCTCATCCTCCTCTCTCTCCCCAACTCAATATTTCTGCCCATCCATTTCCTCTCCTCTACTCCTCTTCTCTTGCTCTTATTGTGGCAGCTCCCTTTCCCCTACCCTCATGCTCCCAATTGGCTCAGGAGTTCATGCCACTTCCCATTCTTGAGGACCATATATCCCTTAGAGTCCTTCATGTTTCCTAGTTTCTTTGGTGAAGAGGATTATAGGATGGTAGTCCTTTGCTCTATGTCTAAAATTCATATATGAGTGAGTACATACCATGTTTGTCTTTTTGTGACTGGGTTACCTCACTCAGGATGGTTTCTTCTAGTTCCATCCATTTGCCTGTGAATTTCAAGATTCCACTGCTTTTTTCTGCTGAGTAGTACTCCATTGTATAAATGTACCACATTTTCTCAATCCATTCATCAGTTTTTTTTTTTACTTCTTTTCAAAATTGAAAAAAAATCATGTTCTAAATAGTTATTTTTTGTTCTCTGACAGTTTCCTGCATGGATATAATTAAATTCCATTTTTTTGATCCCCAATTGTCCTGCCTCATGCATCCTGCCTCACCCTCCCTTCTTCTAACACCAAAACCCTGCTTCCCAACAAGTTCCCTTCCTATTTTCATCCTCTCATCCTCTCTCTCTCCCTTACCCTTACCCCCCCTCTCTCTCCCTCACCCCCTCTGTGTGTGTGTATATATGTGTGTGAGTGTAATAAACTGAATTTAAATTAGGCTGCATGCATGAGTGTGGGTTGGAGATTATTTCCTGGATCATGGGCAATTTATCAGTGGTTCTGTTACTGTCGAAAGTGTCACCCCTTCTGTCCAGAACCATTAACTCTCACAAGTCCCTTGGAGAAGGGTAGAGCTTCATGAGTCCTTCTTCCATCCATGATGAAATGTTAATAAGCACAGTCTTTTGCAGAGCTTTTATACTTTGTCATCACAGCTGTAGTGAGTGCATAAATACATCAAGAAGCAGTGTCTTCTGGACATAGCATGCCACTTCTTATTGGCCCAGATAAGCCCTATACAAATGGCTCATAGGCTAAGACTAAGCAACTTCTCTAAACCATGTCAAAAGGACTCCATTTCTCTGAGAATTTTCCTGCTGCTTTCCTGCCTCTATCACTTCATGTGTATTTGATTTGAATTTTTATATCAATTCTAGTTTGGTAAAAACTTAAACACCTCTTCTCCATGCCTCCAGCTTGTTGTTTCTGGCACAACAGAGAATGTGAGTCTGAAAGAGGTAGGAGATTGAAATGGAATATCTCAAAGGATTCGGGGAAGCTGGAATAATGAATGAATATGGTGACAGGAATAAAGAGAATCAGAAATGATAGGAAGGGAGAAACCTTAGAGAAGCTAATGGAGGAGCTCTCAAGTTTCTCAAGGAGACAACTAAAGTTACAAATTTAGCAGCATCATGCCAGTAAGAAACAAAATAGTCATATTTGATAAAACACAGTTATCAGACTGATAGCTGGGAAACCAGCATGGGACTGATCCAGACCCCACAAATGTGGGTGTCAGTGAGGAGACCTCAGAAATCTATGGGGCCCCTTGTAGTAGATATGTACTTATCCCTAGCATAGGAATGGAGGTTGGGATCCCATTTCACATAGAGGGATACTCCCTGAGCCTAGACACAAGGGGGTTGGCCTAGGCCCTATCCCAAAGGATATGACAGACTCTTAAGACTCCCCATGGAAGGCCTCACCATCCTTGGGGAGCAGAAAGGTTATGGGGTAGGTTTGGGTGTTAGTGGGGGGCAGGGGAGAGGAGGGAAAGGAGAGGGAACTGGGATTGACATGTAAAACCATCTTGTTTCTAATTTAAATAAAAATGGAAAAAAATCTTGCAAAAAAAAGAGTAAATGAGGCTGTTAGGTTAGGGCCTTAATCCAATAGGAGTATGCCTTTACAGAAAGAGGAAAGGAACCCAAGGTATAGAGCAATGTCTTATTATCTGATATTCACTGGTTCCTGGGGAATCTGTGGAAGAGCATTGCCAGATATAACTGCTCAATCTTGAACTTTCCAGCCTTCAGAACCACGAATCAAACCTTCTGTTCCTTATAATTTTCTCAGTCTGTGTCAATAAGATCTAGTAACAGAAAACAACCATAAGTGCCTGTCAAAAGAAGACCAGGACTCTACCTCAGCTTCAAAGCACATACTTACCCAAAATCCTAACAATCACAATGTATCAGCAAGATGCTTTAGCAGACTATTACCCAGAGCTCAGGAGTTAGACTCACCCATGGGTTTCTTAATCAGTATGGCCACACATGAAGGCAGAGCTTCAAGGGTGTCCATTTTAGTTCAGGGCAAGATGTTCAACTTTCTAATGGTCCATCTGATCCTACCCAAGTCACTGGCACCTTAACTGTTATGGGGAAAAATGTATTGGACCTAATAAAGACAGTATTGGAGACTGTGTTCAGTATTGGCTTTTGATAAACAAATTTGAGTACCATTGCAGTGGGAACTTCCAGAGGGGAGGAACAATGGAGCTTATCTCTTTTTTTTTCTGCAGTTTTTTTCATTTGAATTAGAAACAAGATTGATTTACATGACAATCCCAGTTCCCTCTCCCTCCCTTCCTCCCCTACCAAGCCCCCCCCCCCAACTAAAACCCTACCGATCACATATCCTTCCTGTGGAGCTTACGTCTGATGTGACAAATTGGGGTTCAAGACAAAAGGTGGGAAGAGTCAGTGGTTGGAAAATTAATAAACAGCAGGAGTATGGACGCTTTTGGTAGAGTGAACTTCCCAGATGCTTCCTTAAAGTAGATCAGAGTGACCAGTTGTCTACTATATACCACATGAGCAATTTGGTTACATATCCAAGGGTGTCAGAACCAAGTGGGACTTACCCTAAATTGACAATAGGATTCAAGTTCAAACTGGCTTCCACACCAGAAAGTGGGGAAGCCTGTGGTGGGGTCCACATGTTGAGGACTCAAAGAAGCTTGATTAAAGTCACGTCAGAGGAGTAGGTCTTTGTTACATCCTTTCTTCTTGGGACTTCTTATATATTGTACACAGACAATGTATTTTAAATGACTTCAAGGCTGCCAAGGAGAATAGAGGTAGCATACATGTACAGGGAGGACTATTTGCTTTGAGAGAATGTTTTTGGCCCTAGATGATGTTTAGAGTAATTTCTGAAGGCATATTTAAGCCTTCTGGGGAATTTTAACCAGGCTTTTGGACAGAAAATGTCAGAAATGCTTTTAGAATTGAAAGACAAAATCACAAGCTTGGCATTTGGTAGGTTGAATTTGCTGGGAAAAGGCTCTAGAGCAGTGGTTCTCAACCTTCTTAATGCTGTGACCCCAACCATAAAATTATTTTCATTGTTACTTCATAACTCTAATTTTGCTTCCTTTATGAATCATAATGTAAATATCTGTTTTTTCCAATGGTCTTAGATGACCCTTGTGACAGCGTCATTTGATACCAAAGGGGCCACAACCCAGAGGTTAAGAATTGCTGCTCTAGATGGATGCCTGAACATGTTTTCCACTTTTTTTTTCTGACATTGGGTCTTGATTTTAAGGATATTACCCAAGTGATGGAAGGGGGTGAAAGGATTTCAAAATTTCTGTGGCTAGAGGATTAGACCAGAGACTGGAAAGCAGCAGGGAGATCTATTCAGGATCTAATTCAAGGACTTTAAACAGATTAAAGTCACTACCTCAAGATGTGGTAGTGACTTTAAACAGGATGGCAGCAGAAGAGATTGGATGAATTTCTTAAAATATGTAGGCCAGCACCAGAGGACTAGAGTGAAGACCAAGCCATCTGATCTGGTCTTATAGATGTACCCAGGCTCCCTACTGCTCTAAGCAGCTGTTGGTGTGGCTATTCTCTGAGAAAGAGAAAGATAGGAGGGATAGTGTGTGTGTGTGTGTGTGTGTGTGTGTAGGGACATGTGAATGGGCATAGGGAAGAGGAGGAAATTTTTCATCTAGCTAAGGTCTCCTATTTTACCAATCCAAGTAGTGAGTTTTAAATGTTAGCTAGTCAGAAAGATGCTTTACATTGCTTCTCTGTGCACAGAGTGTAGAGAAGACACACAATAGTGATGATCCTTGGTCATATACCACAAATGGGTATTTTCCTATTACATTAATTTAAAGGGAAAGAAAAATCCAAGATGGCCGCCAGAGAGGACTAAAAAGCTGCAGCTGCTGTAGTGACGAAGGCGGGTGCATTGTGACTTATCTCACTGTGCCCTTTGTGACCTGGCCAGCCCTGATGCTTCTGCTGGCTTGCTGAGAGAGCCTGCCCGCCAGACAGATCTAGCTCCTGCTTGAGTCCGGAGTGCGGACAAGTGGCTGGCTGCGTCGGCCCAATTCTAGCTTGGCCCTCAGCTTCCCAGTCATGGCAACCTCCACTACCTCACACCGGCCCATCAAGGGGATACTAAAAAACAAAAGTTCAACATCTTCAGTGGAGGATTCCGCCCAGCCATCCGGAAGAGCCGGCACCCAGGAGTTACAACGAAAGAAATCGCAAAAGTGGGACGAATCCAACATACTAGCAACCCACTATCCATCCTATAAAGACTATGACTTAATGAAGATGAACGAGCCCGGCAATCCCTATGCCAGTGTGCCACACGACGGAGAAGATGGCATGAGTGAAGTTCAAGGAAAGGAAGCCATGACCCCTGACACCTTAGCGAAGAAACTGGCAGCCACTGACACATTTGGAACCAGCCATCAGGGTGAGGAGCAAGGAAGCAGCGGTGCTCATAGCAGCAAATTCTTCCTGGACAAGCAAGAAAGACAGCGGCAATTTGAGTTGAAAAGGAAGTTACATTACAACGAAGGATTGAACATCAAATTGGCCAGACAACTGATATCGGAGGAGCTACAGTCTGAAGTAGAAGATGATGAAAACCAACCACGTCTACATTCAAATTATTGAAGAAAAGACTACTACAGAAGAAGCTCCGACATTGAACATCTAGAAATTCCATCAAAGAACACATATAAGATCTGTGGTTGCCGCTGCCTTGCCGCTGCCATTGCCTATACCACCGCTGCTTCTTGCTTCTTAGAATCCATGGTCATAGTGTGACAATACTTATGCATTTAACTGTTTAATGGTGTTTAGTGGTCATGCAGGAATTAAATGGTAATCTTAGAAAATATTAAATTGGCTGAAATGTCTGTCTGTTGTGGCTGTGCTTTATTTCCTGTGCCGATAGTCAATGGTTTCCTCTTTTAAATCATCGTGGGTGGTTGCCAGGAATAGGGAGAGAAAAAGGAAGCAGAGCCTCTCCTAGGGGTCTTCAGAGAGGGTGCCTGCTTGTCTTTTCAGTGGTCTATTAAAGGCTTCTGGGAGGCGGAGGAGGGGCCAGCATTCTGGTTGTTACATGCCTATTTGAGTGACAAAATGCTTTCCAGATGACTAGAGAATGAACACCAATTTTCAGAAGAAGAATGATGTCTGCCAAATTCCTGTTGACCTGAAGATGAAGACAAAGGAAGTTGGGGAGATGGTCTAGGGGTTAAGAGCACATACTGCTCTCGCAGAGGGTCCAAGTGGAATTTCTTGCACCTACAATGGGTCACTCAGAACTATCTCTAATTCCCTTTCCTCAGTACCATCTTCCGTCCTGATGCATACTCCCCCTGCCTAACACATATACACGCAATTAAAAATAAAAATTAAACAGGGATGACGACATATTCCACCATTAATAGATTTTGCTGACCTTGGAGGACCCGGGTTCAGTTACAGGCACCTATCTGTAACTCCAGTTCCAGAGGATACAACGCCATCTTCTGGCCTTCAGAGGCACTGCATGCATATGGTGCATAGACATACATGCAGACAAAACACCCATAAACATAAACATAAAATAAATCTTTAAAACATTTAAAAGACAGGGGACCCAGTTTGAGGACCTGTTTCTGGTCAGAAGAGGGTGGTGCAGCTGCCACTGGGCTACAGTATAGGTAATACAAAGACATAGGGGGAAATAATTGCTGACTCTCACACACATGGGGAATGGCAGAGATAAGAATGCTGAACAGAGTAAAGTAGGGGTGTCAACAGGGTGTGCATACTTGGAAATTTCCTTTGCACAAGGTGATGCTTACTCTATTGTTTCCATAACACAGCACCACATCAATGATCAGGAAAATATGTGGGCAAGAAAAAAGGAGGATAGAACCTCTAAAATCTAAATTTGATGACTGCTACCACTCATTTCTTACAGACCTCTTGAACAAATTAAGCTACCATTTATAAAATCTACATTTGGAAAATTCAGTTCACACATGGAAGGGTGAAACATTCAATGTCAACATCCGTTCAAGGACAGGCAGAAAAGACTGAATTTCAGTAGCCCAAGCTACGTGTGCAAGAGAACTGCAAAGACCTGGTGGAAACTGAAAAATATCTCTGTGTTAGTGTGTGGTGTCTGTGTCTATATGTATGCATGGGAAAAGACGTTTCAGGGTTTTTTGTTTTTTGGTTTTTCGAGATGGGGTTTCTCTGTGTAGCTTTGGAGCCTATCCTGGCACTCGCTCTGGAGACCAGGTTGGACTCGGACTCACAGAGATCCACCTGCCTCTGCCTCCCAAATGCTGGGATTAAAGGCCTGCAACACCAATGCCCGGCTTTTTTTTTTTTCTTCAGGTATTTTTATCCACCAGCATAAACATAGTTCCCTAATACAATATTATACATTATTAGTGCTTTAAAAATATAAAAGTTGTTATCATTGTATAAGCAAAGCAGTTTTGCACCACTGAACCTGCGTATGCATACTGGGTACTAAACAGTTTCTTCTTCCAAGGCACCTGCTTTCTTTTATCTTCCCCACTCCCCTGTTTTAAAGCAGACTCTTTAAGAGGTGCATATGAACTTGGTTTCCATAGCAATTGCAAGCATCAGTGATAACCCAGAGCTTCTAAGTTATAATATACAGTCTGCCCTATTAATGAGTTTCAAACTGCATTTCTATGAGACAACTGCTCGGTCACTGATAGATAAGGTCAGACCCCATCTTCAAAGTTTAAATTAAATCAGAATAGATCAAAATGCATCAGAGGGAGGAGTGTCCTTTGCGGAAAGTGTTCTATTAAAAAATGCACTCTTTCTGGAGGCCAAACTGTCACTTTTGTGATTTTTTTAACACTCAGATGGAAAAATTCTAAAATGTATACAAGTCTCTTCTGGGTTACTAAAGCATGACATCATGTTCTTGTGTTACTTATGACTGAGTTTCCCCCTTAATAGCTCTGACTCTAAAAAAGCACACAATAACCACCACCCCAAGGGCAGGTGTGACAGTTAATCCTAGCCAGGTCAGGAGGACTACAAGTTCAATGATAACACCATCTTGCTTACAGATTGTGCCTACATTGATGGGGTCCCATTTGACTGGTGTACTCAGCTGTTTCCACCCTGTACAAGAGTGTTTGCAAGGGTCCTGGAAGGATATTGCCCAAGATCTTGGAAGGACTTGTTTTAGAATTGTTTTTGAGGATAGTGTCTAAAATAGAAACAGAATTTAACCAAGTATGGACAGGTATATCTGGAAAGCTTGGCATTCCAGATACAAGTATAAAGCAAGGGGAGGCTGCATGGGTTTAGAGAGGTAGGAAGCCCCATGGTCTAACTCATATATCACACAAAGTCAATGGGAGACACCATTTCTTTAAGCAAGAGTAGCCTGATCAGACTTCTCTGAGAGAGCCTCCTAGCTGAGGACATGGCCATAAAGCCACCAAGGTAAGGATGACAAAGCTGCAGACAGTAAGCTGGGTCCCAGAAAGCCCAGAGATTTCTTAAACTATCACAAATGGGCAGAAAGATGGCTCATCATCAAGGGTGCTTGCCAACATGCTTGAAGACCTGAGTTTGATCTTTGAAATCTACATGGCTTTTGGAATGATTAAATGAAAAGGTGTTGGTAAAACATGTGGCTTCTATTAAACATTCAGTAGATTGGTGGATAATATTCTCCTCAGCCGTACACATTTCTGTTCATCTATTAATCTGCTGATCATTTCCAGGACAGTGTTAGACATTTTTAAAGTTACCTATCTTTTCTCACTGGACAGAGAACCTTTTGTATACAGGAGCTACATCCCTGGGTCTGGAGCCTCTGAACACAATGTCATATACCAAATCTATGTTGCGAACTGAAGCTGAAAGAATGAGCTTGAACATGTCACCCCCTATTAAATTGGATCCCACAATCAACTCAGAAATAGTCAAACACAATTTGGTCTCTGAGGCTACTGAAGCTTCAGCCTCATGAGCTTTTATGGATACAGGTGAAGGCAAAGTAAAGATTGGGTAGTCTCAAATGGTAACAGTGCTTACTCAAAGCAGGGACAATTGCTTCACGTAATCTCTTTGAGGATGTCCTTGATGTTTTTCATCACCCTTAGCCTGAAAAGCAGGAGATAAAATGGGAGTACACTAACCAGGGATTTAGATGTAAAGCCAAACTACAGTTTAATTTTCAAACACATTGAAATTTCTAGGATACAGTCAAGTTTAGGAAAGAAAGGCATTAATTCTGTCTCATCCAAACCACAGGTAAGAACCACATCATCGTTTATAGTAATGTGCGACATTTTATATTCACAGCACATTTCTAATTCTCACTTTTTTCCTTCTGAACTTCTCTTATTAATTACTATTTGATTTAAACTGCAAATTTTATAAACTGGAAGTAGAAAAGAACCTTCTGACCCTTTAGCCCAACTGCTTCAACTTATGGCCCAAGGTTCTTTGTTTCAGAAATAAGAGATACCAAAATATCTTCCCTGGGGTTAAAAAGCCACTGGGAACTGATGCTTGCTTATAGCCACATGTTACCTCCTTTGTATAGGGGGAACATAAATTAACTATGAACCCAAATACAGTCATTCTTGTTTGGAGACAGTTCTTGTGCTTTGAACTCAGAAAACCCTTCCAGTAGAGTATATCCTCTTATAGAAAACCTGACCTCAGCCAGCCCCAGACGCTAGACAAATGTTCCAAGAGATGAAACCAAGTAACTTCTCTTGAAAATGAAAAGAAAAGCTTTCCTATCAGTCTGGTCTGGTAAAAATTTTCCTCTTATACTTTGTGCTTATCATTCCCAGCATGTCATGCTTTAATACAAATGTATGCTGTGGAGAAACAGAAAGAAGCACGTTGGTGAATTCTAAGAAAGAGACATCACTCAGAGGGAGGGAGGCCCTTACATCATAGTCAAGAGAAGTTGCTTGGTCTTATTTCATGAACTATTAGTGTAAGGTAATTTGAGTTGGGTTATATTTGAATAGAAAAGAAATAGGCATTTCACCATCTTGTAAGGTAGTATATTTTGTAACATCCTTTTTATACAAGCTCTTTGGATGAAGTACCGTGCACTAACTGGGAGATAGGCTCTAGTTGTTTGTACAAGACACTGAAAGCACTGGTCACACTCCACATATTGGTTTATTATTTTAAGTGTACTACCTGTACATTTTCCCCCTCAACATATCAGCAAGATTGAATGACAACAGCAGAAGATCTTTTTCTGGAATTGTTTCAGAGATGAAATGAGGAGCCAAGGGCCCTGGTAAGTGTTGCTAATGTGCCATAGAGTCAAAGTACTATAAGGCATGTGTTTGTTACTTTTGTATTTTTTTGATAAAGTAGTGACAAAGACAGATAACAGAACAAAGAGTTTATTTGGGCTTACAGTTCCAAAAGGTTATGACTCCATCTTGGCAGGGAGGCATAACAGCAAGCAGCAGGCAGCAGGCATGGAAGCTGGATAAGAAGCTGGGGACTCACATTTCAAACCCCAACACAAAGTAAAGATAGAGAGAAAAGAAAATTGGGAGTAGAGTAAGGCCTTAAGCTCTCAAAGATCATAAGTGACATACTTTTTCTACCTCTTCTACCAAAGGCACACATCATAATAG